ATGATGACAATTTCAGCAACATCATCATTAATCACTTTAAATAAATAGGGGTATTAATTTAATTATATAGTTTTGTTTTGGATTTTATGTGTAAATCTATTTCAGTTTTATAATTGTAAAAGAGCCATAAGCATAAAGAGTTATACTTCGTTTTTTATGCATACATATATAAGAACATTATTTTTATTACCATTCAAGTCCATACTGGAGAAGCACAACAAAACTGTTTACTAAGTTTAAGGCTGTTTCCTTTGTAGGTTTCTTTTTTGTAAGTTTCACTTGTAAATAAGTTTCATAGCTACATGAGCTTCATTTTACAAATAAAAAATATTCCCCTCAGAGAGAAGGAGAGGGGTAAAGAGGAAAGAATAAAAAAGTAAAAAGACGTATTACATACATGTTAACTCCCTGAGATAAATGTAATCATGTACACCAAACATGTTTAAGAAAAAAAAAAAAAAAACCTTTAGAAACTTAGTCATTGAGCCATCAGTTCAGAACTCTGCATCAACACAAATATCACCTGGCAGGGCTTAAACCCTGAGAACTGAAAAAGTTCTCCTTCACTATACCATGAAGAAAAAGCCTAGCTCAATTAATATAAGAAAATTACTCAAATATCCAATATACATTCTCAATGTTTAAAATACAGAGAAATACAGTAGTACAGTACAGTGATACAATACACTAGCATTACTATTACTACTACTAGCAACAAAAACAGCAACCCTATAAATGGAAAAAATTACAGAAGTTACAACAAACGAGGCACTATTGTAGGTTCATATTTATGAACTTTTAATTTGCATAGTGACTCCATTTTGCACACCAGGAGAAAGAGGCACAAAGACAGGGTAACTCCCACAGCTAGTAAGTGACACAACTCTGCTCAAGCTCTGAGAGTGGTACGAACCACTGTTCATAAATGGTCATAATGCATCTTCCAGAAAACCTGTACGTAAGGATGGGAGTGGATCCTGTGAGAAATAAAATCTACAGTCAGCATCTCCTAGTAATTTTCAATAAGGTCAGTAACTTGAATCTTTCAGCACCAACACTCAACTTACATCAACTGCTTAATTCTCCCTAAAGTTAAAATGACCACTTGATTTGTTATTTGAGAAGAATTACTCCCAATGGTTAAAGTATTTCAAAGACACCCAGCTGCTCCTGAAAAAAACAGTTACCTTTGCAGATTCTGTTCAAAGAAAGCCCACACTTTGATCCTTAATATCTCATGAAGTAAAAGGTTATGTTTAATCTATATTTTATAGATGTAAAAGTCAAATTAGTCTTGGAATAAACAAGCAAGAGTGGAGTGTGATGGTAAGCATATTCTTTAGCATTCACTGGACTCCTAGTTTAGAGGATACTATACTATGTGCTGAGTTAAAGACAATTACATTAGTATAATACGTGGCAGTTTTTTCTTGTATTATTCTGCAAGCATAAACAAGTTATATACATGTTAATTTACATTCTATATAAAAAGCCAATTTTAAATCCAATTTACAATGCAATAGATATATAAACATTGTAGGACACAGCAATAAAATTACACCATAAAGTAGAGTTAATTCAAGACAACAATAATAAAAGCATAACAAATTTTAGCATTCCACCAACTGCACAAAGGTGTTTCAGGTAACATCTGTTCAGAAGCAATTGCTACAAGACAGACTAGATGAGATGCAAGGTTTCATGGTGTAATAAATGTATGTCAGTTTGCTTACTTCATAATTAAAGACAGGAGTCTCTGAAAAAAAGCAATTAAGCTTCACTCTAAATCTGAGATAATCATTCCTACCCCGACCGCACCTCAAACATTCAGAATAGTCCAAAAGTATTAAATACCATTTATCATCTACTTTCAGCAGCCAAAAAGCCACTGATATCTGTCCTCTTAATAAACCACATATAAAAACAAACCTAGGTACTTTTTCCCCCATTGTATTAGGAAGGACAGAAATGAAAAAGTGGAAAAATTCAAAACAATTCTTAGAAGACTTGCCTGAATAAAATGATTTTACCATCACTAAAGGTTACTATAGCTGATGTGTTAGGTAGAATTTTGCATGCATAAAACTTAGGCGTCTACAGCCTTCAACTATGAGCACTCTCAGTTCTTGACAACTGAAAGCATTAGTTGAGAATTCAAAGAAATGTTTTTTAAAAAAAAACATACTAAAAATGGTAAACAAAAGTCAGATGAAGATTTGTATTATCATTCTGATCAGTTTAAGATTTTACTGTGTTTTATACAGTAATCCCGCGTAACACAAGGTGGAGATGTAAACAAATTTGATGGTTCTCCTAAAACCTTTCAACATGGCCAAACTCATGATTATAATACCTGCTTGATTTCCTATGGCAGCTGTGACAAATTATCACAAATTTCCTGCTTACAGCATCAGAAATTCATTGTCTGGCTGTAAGTATCAAATCAGTTTCACTGGGTCAAAATTAAGGTGTTGACAGAGCAACTGCCTTCCCTCTGAAGTCTCTAGGCCCAGGAAAAACATTCTTCAGACTTCATTCTGGCAGCTTCCAGTGCTGCATTGCCCATCTCTGCCTCTGTAGCCCTAACAACTTCTCTTCCATAGTCAAATAAGAATCTGTGTGTTGGCATTTAAAACCCACACCAATCATCCAGAATAATTTGCCCATTTTTATAACCATCAATCATATCTGCAAAGCCCATCTTTGCCTTATAAGGTAACATTCTAAGGTTCCAAGAATTGAGGAGTGTCTCTTTTGGAATATCTCCACCTACCACACCTGCTTCAAAGTGAAAGCAATCAGGAAAGGATGCACTACTCCCAAGCCTACTCTGATTTCAACTCTACATTCCTACTAAAATTAAAAAAAAAATTTCCAACTTTATACCTTTTCTCACCTCACAACCTGCCTATAACCAGGGAATCACTAACCCTACATTCATTAAAGCCATTACAAATTATTGTTAATGGTTCTTGGAAGAGAAAAGCGGTAAGGATTAAAACTCCCAACAATCGTGAAAGAGTAATACCAGATGGTGATTAAAGATCAAAGTTATGTGACCTTCAGCAAATCTGCATCTTAGTCTCTTCATTGACAAACAAGGATAATAATATATAAGTATGGGAAATCATGGACTTGGACCCAAGTACCTGCACTGGGCCTACCAGACCAAACCAATGTAGTTTAATCACAGTAATTGAGTTTGGCTGGTTGCAGAAGGCCCGATAACTAGAGAACTAATTACTTATCGACAAGTTATTATAATAGAATATTGGGGTCATTTGAGTAAACTGTAGCCAATTACATTGCTTTCTATGCCTCCCTTGTGTTTTCCTATAAATGCTGTCTAATCACACTGTTGGTTGAAGCTCTCAATTGTCTCTGTTTCTGTGAGCTGAACCTGGACTTCCAACCTCTCTTAAGAATTCCAGCTTATCAGAGAGATAGATGGTCCCAAATCTCGCATGCTCAGTCTCCTGGTAGAAAGAGTTTCAAAATATCTCCATAGAATAGCATTCCCAGAGATCTGGGCGTATAGCTCAATGACCGGGAGCATGCTTAGCATACATAAGGCCCTAGTTTTGCTCTCCTGCGTAGAAAGAGAGAGAAGAAAGAGGAAGAAAGGGAGGAAGGAGGCCATCCTCCTGGAAATCCTCCAGATTATGACAAAGCAATAAAGTTACAAGGATCAACAAACAAAAAAGAAAGCTTGCCAAGTCAATGTAGACCATCCAAAGATGGCACATACTAGAACTGTTAAACAAATAACAACCTAGTATAAAATGTTTAAAAGTTAAAACAAGAACACCTAAGAAAATTTGAAAAATGAGCAAGTGGAACTTATCAAAACAAAAAATAACTGCTAAAATCAAATATTCAGAACAAGTTAAACAGTGGATTAGACATAGCTGAGGGCAGAATTAATTAACTGGAAGAATATACCTAAAGAAATTTCCACATTAACTCCAAAGATAAGAGTCAAAATTACTTCTAAATGAATTATGGAGTCATGATTCAAGTCAAACCCCACAAACAATATTTTGAATGTGCCTGTTAGTTGTAGAGCATAAAAGTATCATCTTCAGAGGTCATCTTTACAAAAACCCGATGGCATACCGAAAAGATCAGTATGGTATGCCTTAGAAATGAAAATGACTAGAACCTGAATCTTCTGCTACACCTTCAGTAAAACTAAACATAAAATACTGACTTGCAAAATCACATCTCCTGTATTCTAAACTGTAAGAATGAAGACAAAATAAAATGAGCTTGTTAGTCCAAAGTAGGTTCTATAAGGAAGAAAAGTCTTCGCAATGAATTGGTCTTACATTGGGCAGAATATTTCACTGTCAAATTAACTCTCCTAATCATCCTTCAACCTGTAAAAATAACAATCAAGTACAGTACAGATTTGCCCCTACCAGTACAAAATGTCACCATTCTTGTGGCTCTCAGCAGTTGAGGATAACGAGTTTCAAATACTTAAGACTGCTTTCCAAACTAAACATTCTTTAGCTATGACCACATGCTCTGCCAAGTAAAACGTGCTGTCTCAACTTGAAAAAATGTACCTACCTTAAAAATTCTTGTTGTATTAAAATATTAATCAAAAAAGTAAATACTATTACCTAAAAGACCACTTTTTGTCTACCCTCTTACACTAAGGGGAAAAGAAAGGCTAAGAAAATGCAACATTCGCCTAGATGACTTCAGTACATAGACATCTGAACTGCTTTTCACTTCGGCCTTAAGGTAGGAGCAGCACGAAGATTTGTCACAAGCATTTGTCACAAGATTAAAATACAATCTGACCTTGTCGTTGTCGACCTAAGAAGACCTGGAGCTCTGGATATCTAGAATAAACAGTAGCACTCTCCCAGTGTGCGCCCCCCGTCCCGCAGCTGTCAACCAAGTTCGAGTTGAATGGGCCTGAAGGATCCCCAGATCCGAGCCGCCGCCCCTGGACTGAACCGCCCCACTCTAGCTCCGGCGACACTTACAAACTTAAGGCGTTTCTCCCCAGGTTCCTCCAGACTGCCGGGCTGCGGACCCTTCCGGCGCGGCATCTTGCTTTCCCGGCAGCTGCGGAGCGAGGCGGAGGAGGGATAAGGGGCCGCCGCGGCCGAGCCGTGGGCCGGAAGGTGCAGCCGCGGGCGATGCCTGTCCATCGCTCTCCGCAGGTCAGGGGTCGGGCTACAGCCAACAGTCCAGCACACTACAATCGGGGATCTGGGGGACCCTCGGAGGTCCTCCTGCCCGGTTTAGTCACCCGCGCTCTCAGTTCAAGCCAGCCCAGGCCAGCCCAACCGCTGCAGCCGGGGCTGGAGCCAATACATCCGAAAACTCCCGCCACCGCGGCTCCGCCTCGGATGCACCAATCCCGTACCTCCGGGTCAATTACACGCCAGGGTGCCGCCCCTTCCGGGAGATCTCCAAAATCCGATTGGTTGTGCTGTCTGTCCGTTCGGCTAGAGAACCCTTCCGGCGATCACCGGCCTTGGTCTTGTGCTGGCAGGCTGAGGTTTGGTTTGGAGAAGCGTTTGTGCCTATCACAAAGTCACTGGCCTGAATTTAATTGGAATTGGAGAAGCTGGAATGCAGAACCTGGCTCTGTGCACGTTTAGTAGCGCAGGAATGTAAAATGCCTTGCACATTTTGGGAGGCGGCTGTGCGATGGCCTTTGGGAAAAGTCGTTCTACGGTAGGCACTGGAAAGGGTCCAAGACGAGAGTATCCTAGAGCATCCTCAATACTACAGAAAGATGCTTTACTAGACATACGTACTTAGAGAGTGCCCAATTGCTGAATGCTCGCTTTGGGGTAGCAAAAGTTTCCATCAAAAATCCGAATGTGCCTTTTAGTAACCACGCAAACCACCATGGTTCGCAAATCTTTCCACAAAGTGATGTTGCCACACCTCTTCTACAAGCTCTTTGAGAACAGAGTAAGTTGCAAGGCAAGATCTGGGGGCTACAAAAGTTAAGACGCTTAGATTTTCAGTAGGCAGGGCGTTCAGATAAAAGGTATTCCAGGCCTGAGTGAGGGCAAGCTGGGTCAAGCGCATGGAGTTGAAGAAATAGGAGTACATAATAAAGGACCTAGAAATGAAACCATGCTGAAGGATTTATTGTGTATACCCAAGGGCAGCTGTGAGGCTAACAGTGTTCTTATACATCAATGTGCTTTTTATTCTTTTAAAGTCATCTTTTCCTTTGAACTATTTCCTCAAATTATAGATCTTCTCACTCTTTGGAAGTGGTGTGGGCCAAGTCTCTAGTAAGCATGCAGTATTGATTTTAGTACAAGAAACAACTCCAGTACTCAAGAGAGATCCTCACAGAGGTTCAGAAAAAAAATCTTAATTCCAGCTAAGTCTTAACTTTTTTGTTTGAGGTATTTTTTTATTTTTTTAATGTTTGATTTTTTTACGAAGCCAAACTCAGTACCAGTCTTTGTCCTCAAAGAAAACCCAAACTTAGGGAAATTTACAAGAAATCAGCAAAGTCAGGAGAGCTAAAAGTGGTTTCATGTGTCTTGATGACATATGCAAATTTTATTCTGCTGTTTATTAGCCATGTAATGTTGGAGATGATCTTTAACTTTCTTTGCTTCTCTGTCTTAAAAGGAAGACAATAACAGTAATATTTTAAAATAATAATAATATTTTTCAGGATTAAATGAGCTAACATATTTAAAGCTCTTAAAACTGTCAATGTCCTACAGCCAAAGACCACTAAGAGAAATACCTGTAGTTAGGACGATCTGGTCCAGGTCCAGTATGTTACAGAAAATAAGAACATGCACTATGGTGAGCCGTGGTAAATCAGTATGAGAGAGTTAAGAAAGCACTTAAAAAATTGGGCAGAGGTTCGTTGATTAGAAGAAGACCCTGAAAAACTGGGTGGAGAGAATTGCTTTGGATTGTGTCCCATCTGGAAGTGGAGACAGTTCAATGATGGGGCATCTTCATAAATCTTGTGCAGAAACATAGTAGCCTGGAAAGCAAGGCTAAATTTGTAACTGAAAACAAAGCAGGCATTCCTCTGTGTATAGGGAGGAGAGGGTGTCAAAAGACAAAATTGCAACAAAGCTACTTTAAAGATAACTGGCTTGTATTTGTAATTCTAAAATAGGACATCTTGTTCTATAAATTAAGTGTTCTGATGAGCTCAGCATAGGAGTGTGACTTCATAGGAAGAAAAGGGTTAAAGAAAGCAGAAATAAAGAATGAAAAGCAGAGTAGTTATTTCATTTACTTTCCTTATAGGGTTAAAATAGAGGGAACTCAGTATATCAGGTAATAAACTGGGCCCCTTCTGATTGATTGATTTCAGTGAGTCTTCTGAGGTTTTGTTTGTTTTGTTTTCTGCTTTGTTTTAACCATCCTGTTTCAGAGTTTAAGTTGAATACACAGCAATAAACAAGAGCAACTCCACTCTAGTTTGGTCTTTCTGCTGGGGCTTTTTGCAGCTACGTACTACAGCTGCTTAGTTCAAAACTGAGCTTACTCTGTAATGGCTTCCCATGAATCTATTTAACATTGGTATATTGTACTTTGCACACTGACCTTTTTTGTTGTGTGTGTTTAGACAAAATTAGGAAGAGGTGTTGTTTTGTCTCATTTTATCATGATCACAGAATAACCTTATCTGATATTGGTGTTTTGTAAGATGCTATCCATCAGGAGAACAACATAACCTAGTTTTGAGTGTCAGGCCAGTTTGTAAAAAACACTGAACATAGCTGGAAAGTGTCAAAGACTGTTGTCACTGATGTCAAGACTGTTGTTTTCTTTCTCTTATCCCTGGCACATAAAAAAATATTAAACATCAACAGGAGCTAATCATCAATTTCCAAGTTTAGATTGAACATTCTGAATTTTTTCTCATGAAATACATATCCAAGAAAATAATACTACCTTACTAATTTTGTATAAGCTTTACACTTTAAAGTGCATTTTATATGTTTATTATTTAAAGCTCACAACAGCATACACTGCGTCTTGCTCCAGTGACTCAATAAGATCACAATACACTCCAAGGAATCAATTACGAAAACAATCCTGTGCCAGGCTTTATGTGCAGGGATAAAACAGAGTTGAAGCAAACAAAAAACAAAGATCATCTATACGGGGACTTATTAGAAAGATTTACAGGATCAGAGGCACAAGAGTCCACATGACTGGCTGCATTTTGGAGAGTCAAAGAAGTTTTAAGCTGCAGAACATGAGGGATCAAGAATGCACCACTGGTCTGAGATTAAAGATCTGGAGACTTCCTAGAGAGTCCCTGGTGTCAATCTGAATTGAAAGACTGAAGAAACTGTGGTCTTATATCGTAGGTGATGGTGGTAGCAAAAGACACACTAGCTCAAGCAAAAAGGAACTTATCAAACCCTGGCCAACTTCTTTCTTTTTTTTTTCTTTCCTTCCATCCACGCTGCAACCGAGTTGAATGGTACCACCCACAACAGGGATGAGTCTCCCCCTAGCCCTGGCTTGGTGACTTACATGCCAATTATCTCTAGGAACATCTCACAGACACATCCAGAAATGTGCTTTGTTAATCTACTAGGTATTTCCTATTCCAGTCAAGTTGGCATTATCATGATTAACTGTCATACTATCCTGTATCATTTTGTTACACTTCAACCTCCAGGTAATTACTAATGTGATGCTCTCAAAGTTTCACTTTGAATGAGTATAGGAAAAACTTGTAGAAAGCTGAAGAAAGGAATTGATCATCCCTATCAACTGAAGAAAAAAAGTAAGCTACCATTTTACCCTCAAATTTGCAAGTATTACAAAGTTCCATGTCATGAAGTTTGGTCAATGTGCAGGGACATATGATTTGCCACACACAAGGCAGAATTGTAAAAATTTGGACAGTAATTTGGTAATGCTAGTAAATGTAATGGTCTATGATTCTGTAACCTAGAAATTCTGTACCTAGGTATCTCCCTAGAGAAATTCCTATTGTTGAGTTCTACATCCCTGGAGTCAACCAACCACAGTGGAAACTATTTGAAGAAAAAATGACATCTGTACTGAACATGCAGAGACTGTTTCTGATCATCTCCCAAACAATTCAGTATAACAATTATTTACATAGCATTTGCATTGTATTAGATACTATAAATAATGAGATGATTTAAAGTCTACAAGATGATGCATACATTGTCCCAGATAATATATCATTTTATATGTGACTTCAGTGTCTTCAAATTTCATTTGGGGCTGGTGTTTTGGAACCAATCCACCAAGGATACAACAGGACAACTGTATTCATTTCACTTAGTCATATTCGATTAAAGAAAAAATTGCCTGTGTCACTTATAAAGAACAGTAAGGCAGATTTTATTCAAGGGAGGACCATCAAGGTAGGCACAGAGACCACTGTGCTGGTGTCTTTTCATAGGGGAGAGAGTTTAGCCTCAACACTCAACACAATAAAGAATTTGGGGACTGACAACAAATGGGTAGAGTGAGGGCAGTGAGTGGAAAAATTACTGAGGAAAGTCAGGGTGAGAGGTATTCTTTTTTTTTTTTATTTCATTTTTATCGGTACCAGGGATTGAACTCATGACTGCCTGCTTGCAAGGCAGGTGTTGAGAGGTATTCATTTTGAACTTAGCAGAATACTTGCTGAACACAGGCTAGGGTAGTAAGATACTAAGTGGACTCAAATTTTTGTGAAGAAAATGTCATTGGAATATAGCCACATTCATTTTAACATATTGTCCATAGGTGATTTTGATCTACAACTATAAAGTAGTTTCAACAGAGATCTTATGGCCTGAAAATTCTAAAATACTGGTCATCTAATCCTTTACAGAAAGTGTTTTGTGACCTCTGCTTAATGATTTTTTTCCTTTGATGTATCACAATCACTTTTGAGTAATTATTTATTTTTCTTCAGTGTGAATAACATTCTAGTAAGAAATAGGTTTCAGGATGGGGCTAGATTCTTGTGTTTGCCATGTTACCCACCCATACAGGATTTAACAAATTTTAAAAATCTATTAATAAAAAACTCCATTTAACAAGGTCAAAAAGATCTTGCCACTATAATGAGTCACTGTGAAAAACAGAATTAATTTAAAGTATTATGAAAATCAAAATTACTATATGAATATGTGAATCATCTTAAAATACAGTCAAGCAATTTGTGCTCTGATAAGTTTTCTCCAGGGTCTTATGCTGTAAGTTCAGATAGAAATTCTTCATATGAATGTAATTAGTATAACACAGTTTAATGTCATGCTTAATAGTTTCCCAGAATGTTCTGATTAGAAAATTAATCTGCCCATGTTTGCAGATGATAGAGCCATTTAAAAAAAGAACAGAAATACTTCTATTAGT